CCCCCCCCCCCCCTTGTGAGCGCAACTCTTATGGATTGCATTTACTTGAACAAGGTTGTGTGCGTAACCCTCTATTTAAGCCCACTCGCATAACATGCGCGTATAGAATCGACCAAGCTTTGCATAAGTTGTTGCCATGTCAGGGGAAGCTCAAATGGCTCTGCAATTCTCGCTACCCCAAATAGCGATTCTGCCGAGATCCGGGGAAAATCCTGAAAACGCGCATTGCATTATGGGATAGCTTTTCGACATTACAGCTTCCTGTGCAGGCGTTCGTGATCACAACCCTCTCTTTCACGGTAGAGTTTAACGGCCTTTTGTGCTAAAGTCACTAATTCTGCCCGAAGCTTTCCATTGCATATTATAATCTGTACAAATTACACTGATTGGCATCGATTTTAGCGTGCGTGAAAACTCTGCACAGCGAACACAGGCGCTAGCGCCAGCGGGATGGGACTCTATACCGGAAGTTGTAGTGACGACCCGAGAGAGTGAAAATTACCTCGTCTCGCGAATTTCGAGATTTTCGTACCTATTTAGGGTAGCGAGAATTAACTTGGTATTTTTTATTTAAAAATTAATCAAAAATTGAAAACACTACATTGAACACTGATGATGTGTGAAAACACTCATCAAAACGGTGTGAGTTTTGTTTTCCGTTCTTTTTTCGTTCATTCTTTCTTTGTCTTTCTTTCTTTTCTGTCTTTCTTTTTTCTTTGTTCTTCTTCCTCTTCTTCTTCTTAATCATCTCCTGATTTCTTCATATTTGTGCCCCTTGGACCCCCCCCCCCAATCCGCCACTGAATCACTGCAATATGCCCCCCCCCCCCCGTTAACAAAGAAACCGTGATAACAAATGTGTTCTATTCATTTTACCACTCAATTGTATGACTCACTGTGTACCGTTAATGAGAGTACTCTCTGCGCAAAATTAGATACAATATATGGAGCATTAAACATAAATTGTTAAGCCCTATATCGATTTAATTTAGTTCGTCTTTTTGATTCCCTTTTATGTTTGATTTATTAGGAGGGTATCACGAGTCTCTCACGAGCGGAGGAGCGATCGCACCGGACCTTCCCGCCAAGCCTGCATCGTATTTTCTCATATCAGGCTTCAAGGTGAGTTCTTCTTCATCGGGATATCCCGTGGGTATGGGAGAGGGGAGGAAGTGGGTGGGGAGGGGAGGGGAGGAGGGGAGGGGGAGGAAGGAGAGGGGGTATAAAGACATCGTATTATTGCGCTATATAAAAGCGGAATATTATTATTATTATTATGTATTTATTTGTTAACGAGGAGACCTGTTTTCTCATATCAGCCCTCAGGGTAGCTTTCTAAGAGGGGTATTTGGGCAGCGACGGGGGAAGGGGGTGAATAAAGCAGAGATAGGGAGAGAGAGGGGGATTTGATGAAAAATGTTGATACATGGGTATGGGGTCTCCCCGACACTCCCTCGTTCTAGAAATGCCCCTGTTCATATTTTATGTACTCCATTTAATTAACAAAATGGTTCTCATCGATTAATTTATTTAGGTTTTTTCCTGATTGATCCTCTTGTTTGCTGCAGGCTTCATCAGACATCGACTCGCTTGACGTCGAAAAGGACATCGAGCTTCTAACCGGTCTAGACATCATCAAAGACGCCTCCTCGACCGGTGGCAAGTTCCAAGTGGGTCCTTGGGCGCTCTACAGGCGCTTCACTCCTGCTATCCCCTTCAAGCCCTATGACTTTGTCTTCCGTCTCGAGCTCCAGGGCCTGGAATCGGACCTGGAACCAGCCAAAGAGCTAGTCCAGAAGCTGAACCAAGCCCCGACGGTGGATGGCATCGAACGCTCCATCACAGATTTATACAAAATCGACCAAAAAGATGTCGTTAGCCATGATTGAAGATGAATGGCGCCATCTTGTGATGAATTAACGTACAGGTTTGCATCAGCGAGTAATAATAATTGAGCGCTGCAAATAAAATAATTATTCAAAATATTACGCTATGTAGATGCTGGTTGCACTCGAGAAAACACAAAGTGAAAGCTCTGTTTGCAGGAAATGTCATTTTGTTTATGTTCAAAATTAAAAATGAAATGTGCAAATCGACGTATGAATAACAAATGTGACTATAAAATGAGTCACTTCTCGTGTATTATTGTCATAAACAATGTTTTGTTAATCCACGAAAAAGATTTGTGACTCTAATGGAATGTATGGTAAAAAATGATGTTGTTTAAATTAACTGATATTGCTGCAAGATGATAATTGCATGAAATTTGTAGTGTGTTGCCACATGGCTTTAAATAACCGGCCATAACTATTGCTCAAACTTTCTTTAATAAAACATGAGCAAATAGTAAGTAGGCCCTAATCGTAAAAGGAAAATCAAGACATTTCCTCATTGATATGTTTAAAGTAGCATGACATTAAAATGTGGGGGCGGCGGTATCCTCTCCTGAGAAGAGGCGGGGTTAAAAGATTACTGTGGGAATCACGAATATTAGACCCACTGCACATTTCTTCTGGACCTTTTAGCGGTGGAGGGGCAAGGTTTACGCTGTGTTGGATACACCAATTGCTATTCCCCCTCCCGTCATAGCTCTTTCAAACTTTATTTTTATATTTCTTTGTCTCTTAGAAATACCATAGAAATTCCACAAATAAAAAAATTGTATATAAATATGAATCCCTGATCAAGGCACACTTTGTGTTTGTACCTCTTGCTCTCTATATACACGTTTAATTGCCCCTCCCCCCTCTCTCTCTCTCTCTCTCTCTCTCTCAATCTGTCTGTCTGTCTCTCTCTCTCTCTCTCTCTATCTCTCTCTCTCTCTCTCTCTCTCTCTCTCTCTTTTTGCCATTCTTTGTGTCTCTCCCCTGTATATCTTTTTCTTTATCATTCTTTCCTGAACATACCGTAGTCAATACTATTCAAGAATAATCATTATACTGTATAAGTGCACGTGTTGTAGTATACATATTTTAATTGGCTAATAAGCCATTATGTAATGCTATGCAACATCCACTTATTTAAAGGTAAAGTCCACCCTGATTTAAAGATAAAGTTGAGTTCTGGTAAATTTGGAAAATAAATTCTCACAAAATCTAATGTACCTTTCGCTGAATGTTCAAGATTACAAATAAATGACTTGTGCCAAAAAAATGTGACAGAAAATGTTAAGTGGCTGAGTAATGAGCATAGAAAGATAAGGGAATCCGGGTAAGTAGGACCGACACCATGTACTTACTGTGCAAATTGGAGATCTGGTTTTTATCGAAGATGATGCCCAGGAAGTTTTTGTGCGTTTGTTTTTACATCACTGGTGCAAACAACCGTTCTACTGCAGGATAAACGATCCAGAATAAATCATAGCAATTTTCTCTCAAAATACGATTCCCATACCAGAGCTCAAGATTAGCTTAAAGATGGTTTTCATAGTAGCAGAAAAATGAGAGGAACAGCCGAACAGGTCAGTAAAAGTATTTAAGCAAATTCCGATTACAATTAAGAAGATTAGGAATGTTTTAACTTGCGATCAATCAAACATAAATTGGCAACTCTGTGACGTATGTTGCGAGCTCCGCTCTCATTTGCTCTGTAAAAAAAACAAAAAAAATGTTTATTTTCCCTCAAGAAAATATTCAACCAACTTCAACAATTCATATCTTTCTTATTTTGTATCGGTTTATGCTCAAACGTTCACTGAATTGTTTCTCTCATATTTTGTATTCTAGTAACACCAACTTAATATCAGGGTGGACATCCCCACCCAGAGGTAGGTCTTTGTTGATACTAAGGATGTTTGGTAAAAACCCTCTCCCCCACCCTGCTTCTCTGTCCCATATATATATAATTATGTATCAACTGTTTAATATCCATTGAATGTGTTTTGCAATAAGATTCTACAGCTTACTTTGACATGTGGTTCATCAGAAATTAAACTGTCATGATTGCTGCTTCACGATACATTCATGTAACATGTCATCATTCATATCAGTGTACTGCGTTAATTTGAAGAGAAGAAAATTTGAATGAACAAGTACAGTTTGTAAGCTACATTACGTCGGTTGAGAACGGGAAGGGCCCTCGATTTTGACGATTCTACCTTGTAAGTCTTAGACTTTTCTTCATGATACCAAAATGTGCAAATTAGTCTCTTTCTATTTATAGAGAAGAAAAGAAACGTTCTGTCTCTGTATTATGGACAAGGCGTTTCATACAAAAATTGAAATAATGGGCTGCTTTTGAAGAAAAAAAGCATGAGGTATGTTGGGCCTTAAGAACGGGGGAGAGAGAAAGGGGCAGTGGAAAGAGAGAGATAGACGATAGGAGAAACGGAATGTAAGAGAAAGAGAGGGAGACAAAGAAATATAAAGAGATAGGGGAAGGGAGGGAATGAAGAGGAGAGGGAGGGAGTGAGAGAGAAGGGAGAGAGGGAGAGAGAAACAGAGAGAGAGAGGCAGAAGGAGAAAGAGGGGTGGGGGTAACTTGAGAAAGAAAGTAGAATAATGAAGAAATGCGTCGATGATGTAAATTACCATAGGGGGCGCTGTGCAGAATGGCGAATTGCAAGATTGCGTCAAGTCTCAACCTTCACAGCTGCTCAATCTGCCAAAATCTCTCTCTCTCTGTATCTCTTTCTCTCTCTCTCCCTCTCTCTCTCTCTCTCTCTCTCTCTCTCCTCTCTCTCTCTCCCCCTCTCTCTCTCTCTCTCTCCTCTCTCTCTCCCTCTCTCTATCTCTCTCCCCCTCTCTCTCTCTCTCTCTCCTCTCTCTCTCCCTCTCTCTATCTCTCTCCCTCTCCCTCTCTCTCTCTCTCTCTCTCTCATTCTCTCTCTTCTTCTTCTTCTTCTCTCTCCCTCCTTCTCTCTCTCGTCTTCTTCTCTCTCTCTCTCTCGCTCTCTTTTCTTCCACCCCCACAATATTTCTGACCACACTAATTTCATAAATCATAATGTCCCTGTCCATCCCTGTGCATAGAATCGAGGCTATAACAATTTACACACGCCATTAACATGATTAATTCATCTGAAATTTTATTTAATATACGTGATATGTAGTATATACAACGAAGGCAAGAGTATGTACATGATATACAAAGTATCTTTATTTTTAAATAACTATATAAAGTATCATACAAAATGCCATATTCTTTGAAGATTAGTTTTTCCAAGAACACATTAAGTTTTAATTTGATTTGTCATCATAAGATGTATGTTACCCCGTATGCGACTGATTTTTTCGTAAGCATGGTTGAGACAGGGGTTTTGCGATTCCGAACAATGCTCAAAGTTCATCCCAGAAGGTGCGTAATTCCGAATGTTCACAGTTCACAAAGAGAAGTATGTATACCGTTAACAAATTGGGTTTGTTAGTCGAAAATATAAAATACTCAGGTTGGCCTTTCTCACCATTTTGGTGCTTCAATAAGATTGATTAATTGCTTGTTCATTTCGGATATGCAATAGGGTTTTCCATTCCGAAAACGAAATAGAACATTAGCCGCACTGTATTTAATTCATGGAGTTGCATAAAGAAAAGGAAAATGAAAATAAGTATCGATATTCACAGTGAGAGCAAAAGCGTACAGGCGTAATGTCGCCAGGGAAGGAGCTGACATCGTTTGGTTTAATATTCTTTGAGTTACTAAATTTTGCGAGCGAGCACCCTTTTCTGAACCGTAAACCTTAAAACTGAGTTTTTCACTTCCATCACAGTTTCGAATGTTATTTTTTTTTGTCAAGGATAGCTAGCAGCAAGACGATGAATAAACTATTCCCATGCTCTAGTTATGATCATACAAACTATAGGCAAGACAAAGAAGAATGCATAACAGATTAGCCATCGAATTAGTAGGTCTATGATTGTACTATGAGATTTGTTTCCTCTATTAAAAATTCAAACGAGTTAGATTTCTGACTATTAAAATAAAGCCCCCTTCCGTATCATTTATATGTATCCCTTTTTTACCCGGTAATATTACAAACCGAGCAACTTTTTCAAAAGTGGCATGACAAAAACGAGCGAATTCCGACGATAATATTCACGAAATATTCTATATTCAAAATTTAATCAGCTATCGCAGGTTCAGACAAAACTGAGATGGTGTGATTTGTCTGTGATGCGTGGAATTCTGCCTGTTTCATTAAACTTGTCATCAATAACAAATGCTACAAAAGACAACTGATCTACTTTCAGCCGATCAAATGCCACTATTTCAGTAGCTTAGTTATAACAGTTATTTTAATAATAATAATAATAATAATATTTAATTTTTATATAGCGCTTAATACAAATGTCTCTAAGCGCTTTACAAATATACAATTCTAGCTTGTTATTGATGACAAGTTTTATGTAACAGGGCCCAGGCTTCTAGATCGGATCACGTTTAAATTGACTAAATTATGGATCAAGGTTGGTCATGGACCCTACTTGGTTGGATCAAAGAACATCAGCTGCAGTCGTTCAATAATTCTCCGTATTTCAAAGTACAGTATCGCATCAATGACTGATACATTTAGCTCACAAAATAGTATAAATACATTGCATAAAACTTCTCAATGATCATCAGTGCTTCGATCTCAGGATTACAAAAAAAATAACAGCTGCGTTTCATCCGAATGCCGCCTTACACCTCATAGCACTAGATTTAAGAATCATGATTTTCACATAAGTTCACAAACTGCCATTTCGTTTAATAATAATAGTTAGATCAGTCTAAATAGCGCAGGTACTACATGTATATCAATATACTCTATTGCGCTGTGATGAAAACAAAATGATGAAAACAGTGTCACTCTTTACAAACACTCAATAAAATAAAAACTATTCCAAAGCTCCTGAAAACAAGTGCGTCTTCCATACAACTTTGAAGACAGCAACAGGTGAGGCTTCAATTTCGTCTAGTGGTATGTTATTCCAAAGCTTTGGAGCGGCGTAACTGGAATTGCAATCTCCAAGAGTTACTTTTGTTTTTGTGCGAAGCAGCTTTTTACATCGTAAGCCTATGAGACTGGCGGCCCTTCATCACAGATCTGCTCCGTTTTCGGGTATGGTCTTCGACAAAATCTTTAGGAACTATTCCTCTTTAGTCTGTTAAGCGTCCCGACCTAACCCGACAGCTCTGAATTCCAGATAGGGAAACAATTCTAATTAAAAAAAATCACAAATCTGCTTTGAGAATCATGTCTTTACTGATGAAGGACTCTTTCTTCACAAATTTGTCTAGTTTTTCGCCGGTGAACGAGAGAATATGGTATTTCTTCGTCTCAGTCAGATCTTCAATGCCAAGATGTCTGTAGAGTTGTCTGACTTCTGTGTTCCATTCGACAACGCAAGCCTGGATGCATTTGCAGCCTCGGTCTACCGCCATCTACGATTAAAATGAAAGGTGAGAATTACAAGAAAATTAATGTCATTGACCTCCGAGGAGGAGGGCTGGGGTTAGAGACTCAATTACAATTATGACCTTTGACATGTCATAGCGTTTGTGTTGGATGCATTATGGGATCTTAGTAAATGAAAAGAACCTAATGAATATTCAAATTTAATTTACATATTTCGCTGGTGCACTAAAAAAAGTTGTCTTCTCATACATGAAAAGAGTTTTGACTAGTACCTCCGACCTTTGCCTGCCTTCTTCCTCGTTTAGCAAAGCAAGTCTAATTTCTGTAATTTCTTTCTTGTTATTTCATCAAGAAATATGTATTTGACAGCATGGTCTAAATATTTTGTTTTGTTCTTGCCCAACAAAGCAGTAGTGGCCATATTGTGTCCAACTCGAACCAGGTTGGCCAAACTCTGTATATAGATGGCTCTGAGTGAAGGATACATGCTCTATAGAGCGGGAGAGGTCTTGAGTTTAGGATAAAGCCAAGAGCAAGTGTGAGACTAGTTAGTTGGCTTTGTACTGCCCTCTATCTCGCGGGTCGAGATAGGAAAACTATGGGAATAGGCCATTTTCGTAATGTAACCGAGTTTCTACTTCAGTGCCTCGCTACGAATTCGGAATGATTCCATCCACTTGTTACGAATAATAATGTATTTCAATAGTTAGAATGTAAATTGCATCTATTACGTGTTGTTAGGCCGTTCAAGCCGGACATGACGTATGCAATTTGAATTCTGACTATTGGCATACATTCATTGGTAACAGGTGAATGAAAAAATTCGTATATCACTGCAAATGTGTTGTGTAACGACTTTATACAAAAGTTGGGTGGTTCACTCCTTTCACAGGGGCTGTGTTAAGTTGTGTAAAAACAAATGACACAAGGGCTTTTATTACCACCCAATTGTCGTGTAAAGTCATTACACATCGAATTTGAGTTAAAAGGCGCCTCTTAAAGGCATATGAATACATTTGGTTACATTACCCCCCGAATGGCCCATTGCGTAATCGCGAGTCATTGTATTTCGCGGTTACCGTTTCGGTTTAGGATTACGAGTTTCTAATCGTCTCCTCGTACATCGGATGACTGGTGGCCATGGATAGACACTGAACTCATGCACCGTCTCATTGTAGCTAAATTCTAGTTTGTGGTATATTCACAATCCTGCCCCAAACCCAAAATCATATAGCTACTCGGACCCTCCGTATTAGGCTCAAACAAAAGAGAAGGAAATACACTTACTTTAATAACCTTGTGCATGAGAGCAACGCCTAGTCCCATACCTGAGGAAGAAAATAAAATAATAACAACTTCAAATTTCATTCAAAGACAAACACGAATCTAGAAAGATTAAGAGAATATTCCCTCATTAACCCCTTCAAAGTGAAAAAAAAAACTCTAGGGTCGATTCCAAATCGTTTCCTGAGAAATATATGTTAGGAGAAAGTTCGCCCCTCCTCCAAGAAAACTTTCGATCCGCCCCAGAGTATAATTGAGATAGCTCATAAATTAGTTTTCATCTATTCTTAAAATTAACCTACTCTGTGAACATGATGGCGAAGATTTTCGAAAAATTAACCTAAAGCAATTTCAATAGCCTTGTCCATCACACTTAATGTGCGAACAAAACATTTGTATTCATTTTTGTTCTCCATTTGCTATGTTTTTCTTATTTATAAATGTTTTTGAATGCCTTTTTTATATAATTGTATGTATGATGTAAACTCGCATTTTTAGTCTTTGGACTTTTTGACGAGATTGAATAAAACCTAATTTGAATTTGAATTTAAATTTGAACAATGACGCATTTATACGTAATCTGGACATAATTTCTATGGAATACAAAATGGTATTGAAATTGCCCTTAGAGTGATTTTTCGAAGGTCTTTGCGATCATATTAAGAAAGCTACTTTTTCAAGATTTTGAGGGATCTTACCTCGGTACTCCCTCTCAACGAAGAGGTCTTCGAAGTAGAGCATCTTGCCGTTCCATGAGCAGAACCCGTAGAAGTATAGGGCGTATCCCACTAGTTCAGATGTCCCATCACCGAACAGCTTCTCCAGCACGGCACACTGGAAGACTGGATCGGGGCCGAACCCGTCTCGGCGAAGATCTATTTGAAAATAAAGAAAAGGAAACGGTGAATATTAAGGATTGCTTCAATTCTAATCTTGTTGCTCTGGATGTTATAGTAATGTTGTATGTGATGTTTTTGTTCAGGTACAGCTTCTCGAGCGCGGCGCAACGGAAGACGGGATCGAGATCGAAGCCCATCTCTGCGAAGATCTTTAAAAAAAAAAACAGAATGTTAAGAGAATGAATGATCATGACGATAAATGCTCAGAAAAAATGTGATGAAGAAAATTATTTTTAAAACAGAAACTGGTAATCAGGGGCGGCGTGTAGTGAAGCCTTTGGGTGGATATGATGTCCAAAAATGGCGGCCATCCTTCCCCAGCGCGTCATAATTCGCGTCTATTAATTAATTTCATGACAAACGGTGCGCTGTGTGTGCATACGTAATGAGCGATGAATGTTTTTTTCTGTGAGAAGCATGATTCAGACTGTAGATCGTTTAGTAATCATAACCTTGCAATATTTTGTGGGCTATACCGTGACATATTCTTCATATGATTCTCTATATTTTACAGGACGTATCGAAGTCCCCACTCTCTTTGATAAGAAGGGCACCCCGAGTTTTACACTTACTGAAGTTTATTCTCAAAAAGTTGAGTCCTTCAAGGCAGAACCGGGAGGTCGTGGGTTCGAACCCCGGTCGCGTCATACCAAAAGACGTTTAAAGATGGGAGTTGCTGCTACCTTGTTTGGCGTTCAACAATAAGGGATAGAGCAACGTCGATCTGGCGCTGCTCAGTGGCTGCTGGGCTCACGATCAATTGGGCAAAAAGAATTTCCATTTTCGGTTTAACTTAATACAACTTGGAGTGGACTTTAAAAGATTATTATTATTATTATTATTATTATTATTATTATTATTATTATATTCTATCAGTTATGCATGGTGCAGGATGAGAGTTGAGATGAAGACAAGGCGTGGGATGCCGAGTACTTCCTACTTGGCGGATATAGACTTTGGGAGGCCACCGTGGGCGTATCTGATGCTGAAAGGTGACAAATGGGTTTAATCCTCAATAGAAAAGTTCTCAATTTAATGAGGGCGCGCCGTCTTATCTTCGGAAGGTGATTAGATTCACTGCAGCGTCTAAGAAACTAGACAGACGGGATGAAGAACCTAGAAGGTGTCGCAACGACTAGTCAAAGTTGTGCTTCAGTAGGTCTATTGAAGTTTATAACTTAGTTTAGCGAACTCCAAGTGAAAAAAATCTTGAAAAACAAGTGTAGACAAATAAGTCATTAACTCCAACACGAGCTAAGACGTTGCTTTAATGATTCTTGGAGTATTGTTGTGTTTCCTTTGGAGAAGTATATTACAACATCATTAATATTGAGTAGAATAGAGTTTTTTAACATGGAAATTTCCATGAGACATAAACAGACAAGTCTTCTCTTTCTAAATCTCTGAATAAGTTTGGGAAGAATATCTTGGTAGAAGTGTCTCCTGAAAAGAAATGTTCTTCGCATGCCCTCTTTTTTTAAATATGTCAAGAAAAAATGTGTGCGTGTAGTTCCATGTACCCATTTCTTTGTACAGTGCATACGATTGTTAGTAAGATTGAGTCAAATCCTTTTCATGTTGATCATTTCTAAACGTTTCAAAATGCAATCGCATGGCCAGGGTCCCGTCTTATATCGCTTGGTTCGAATCAATCGCAACTAGATATTAATCGCAACTTGTATCTTTTATTAAGGGGGTATCTCAGAGCGCCGAATGCTTGCGAACGTAGCGAATTTGGAGTTTCGTCAGGGTTCGTAAAATGTTGCAAAAGGTTTCAAGAAAGTTCGCAAACAGTTTTTCTTTGCGAATTTATTTTCCGCTAACAGTTACAGGCGTTTGCAAAACAGTCGTAAGCGGTTGCAAAACAGTCGTAAGCCTTTGCAAACGGATGTAAGACGGTGTCGCTCTTTGTTTTCGATCGCCAGTTCTCTTTGATTCCCCAATGCTAGCGACCACGTTACCATATGATATCTTTATAAAAATCGACCCATCGAGTACCAGGAGTTAGCAAAAGGTCTCAAACGTTCACAAATAGTGGCAAAGGATTGGCCAATAGTTGCCAACAAAACATGTCGCTAACATTTGCTTACAGTCGCTAATAGTCACCAACTGCCTTTCGCAAACACTTTTAGAAACATTCGCTCCAATGTTGCTAATTATCGCTAAAAGTAGCTGATTTTCGCCAACATTCGTCAGAAAAGTTGGCGAATCCAAATTCGCAACGTTCGTAAGCATTCACCGCTCAGTGAGATACTCCCTTAAGTACACAGTTGCGATTAATTTTAAGTTGCTATTGATTATACAGGCCCAGTACTAAATTGTATCTTTGAATAATTTCTCGTAACATGTAAATATATATAGTAACTAGTAAGTGAGTTCCATGGGGTCTGGGATCTAGTACACAGGTGTTTTATGTACAGCATCGAAACGATTATGACACATGAACTTATATCCGGCACCGTCATGATCTGTTGCCATGGGTACAGACATGTCCAAGTGCACTTAGCAACTTTTACTCTTTTTTTACCTGTCTGTACCGTCACTTCATTGTATAATTTGAGCGCATTGGATTCAACATAATGCCACTTCGTGATGGTTTTAGCACGAAGACGGTTTGGGGAACGGGGGAGGGGAGGGGGGGGGAAAGAAAAATCGAGTTCACTGAAAACTTTCTGGAAATAATAATGTTCACCTTTATACATTTTAAGAATTACGTTGGGGTAAGGCTTTGGTACGAACACAGGCCTACAGGAAGTCTCACCTCCCTGATATAAATGAAATTTGGGAGCTAGGAAGAGAAAGAAAGAAAGAAAAGAGAGTAGGTTAATGGGCTTGCAGCTAGTGAATAAGTACAGAGAAAACGTGAAAATACAGTTTGGTCTTCTCATTTTTGGAGGAATCAAATAATTTATGTGCCTGAAACCTGAAATTATGTTTTACATGTAAACCGGACATGCTATAATTATGGAATTATTGGCACTGAGTCAAGGTCTTCCCTATCATGATGATAAGGGCACAGGCTATGATCGATCCGGATTGAGGAGTGATGGTTGATGATGTAACCTTTGACCTATACATTTCTCCTCATCTCCTAGCCAACACTCGTCCCTTTGTTGATATAGTCTCTTCTCGACTTCTCCCTCAAACAGCAAACCATTTTGCGAACTGTAATAACCATTATCCATTACATTGCACACTCGCCCTTGTATTGAACCTCACTCGAGCCCTCCAAGCCCACCCCGTCCCCCCCCCCCCCCACCTCTCTTCCCGACATCCCGACACATACCAAACCATTTTGCGAACTGTAATAACCATTATCCCTGACGTCCATTCCGACATTTCACATTTACTGGAGTTGACAGTCATAGCGTAGCGTGATCCCGCTAAAGGGACACTTGCTTTTATGGGGGGAGGGGGGCGATGAATGAAATATGAATGGGGGCTATCGATTAGGGGTGGAAAGCGGTTAGAGATGGGGTTACTATCTTAATTTCACGTTCCTTAATATGCACCTGCTAACCTCGCCCCCTCTCTTTCTATCCATTCGGTTAAATGGCAAACGTGCCGGTGCCTCTTACCCCCCCCCCCCCCCTCCCTGCAATGCCTTGGTTATCATCATCCCCTTCGGTCTAGGCTGACAGATAATCAATTAAATAGGCTTTGGAGATGACGGATTGCCATTCAAATCCAATAGGATTGGATAACTGATATGCTTGAGTACTGTCATTATTCACGCAACCGTTCTGTTTACCTTGAGTGGCCACCAACAATTAAACAAAGAACTAGTACATGTATACATGCATTTTATAGCGTGTTTTTTCTTCAAATGGACAACGCAAGGGCTGTAATTGTATTAATCTAAGGGAGAAAGATCTATATTTTGTATATCATGGGACGGGTACTTTGCTAGAATGGAAATAATGTGACAACATATTTATTTGCGAGTATATACCGGTACATGCTGTGTGAAGAAGTCAAACGTGAGGGAAATTATATGCGTCAGAGCAAATTCAGGCAATTTACGCACAATTTGGGTAATGATTTGCATTACATCATACTAACCTAGTAAAAAAAAATCATCCATTAGTGCAGATTACACTCTAAAGAAAATATAGGCTGGACCAGTATTTCATACACTCTAATATTATTTGCACTTCATTAACTTTGTTACGATATGATTTTGATTTTTCTTATCATTTGCCTAAAAAAATGAAAATGATCGTATTTGTTTGGATTATAATCAATACATTTTGAATTTGAAGTTTGATAAACTTTAAGATCAATAACGTATTGGGGAAGCTCCCCCCCCCCCCCGGCCCCCTCAAAAGGCATACAATACATATCACTTATCACCAGCATTGCAACACTGATGAGAAATAAAAATGTCAAAATCGAAATTGAATGCGGATATTGGACCCATAATTGACACGAAAGGAACCGATCATTCATTGCCTTGGAAGCATCCCTCATTAAAATGCCACAGGCCGGATGAAGCAAGGATTGAACACTTTTCATTTGATGTAGGTCGAGTCCAGGGTTGTCAGAGGGGAGGGGTGAACATTGTCAAATATTTTTGAACGTTTGTCACTTTATTTCCCCGAGGTATTAGTTTTTCTGTAATCTCAAAACAAGCAACACAAGCAAGGTATGAAATTACCGTAGCTTTATAGGCACTCTCTGCTGCTGCTGCTGCTTCGAACCGCCAGGGCTACTCATAATTTATACATCTGCCATTTCCCGCCCTTCATCACGATGAATTGGATGATCGTGACTATTTTGTGTACTGTGTGTGGCTAACCCGAAATGACACATTCGGTCTTAAAGGTCACAAACCCAATTTAACTGAAGGTCTGTCTTCGCATGATCAATCAAGAGATCACCTTCTTCATGACATGATCAATAATTAATCAAATCAATTATTTTGCGGTCCACCGTGTACACTATAGGTCTTGTGTAATACGCATTAGCTAATTATG